TCACTGGCAGTGACTGGTCTGTCAGTCTCTGGCAGTGACTGGTCTATCAGTCTCTGCAGTGACTGTTAATCAGTCTCTGGCAGTGACTGGTCTATCAGTCTCTGGCAGTGACTGGTCTATCAGTCTCTGGCAGTGACTGGTCTATCAGTCTCTGGCAGTGACTGGTCTATCAGTCTCTGGCAGTGACGGGTTTCTATCAGTCTTGGCAGTGACTGGTCTATCAGTCACTGGCAGTGACTGGTCTATCATCACTGGCAGTGACTGGTCTATCAGTCACTGGCAGTGATTTGGTCTATCAGTCACTGGCATTTGACTGGTCTATCAGTCTCTGGCAGTGACTGGTCTATCAGTCTCTGGCAGTGACTGGTCTATCAGTCTCTGGCAGTGACTGGTCTATCAGTCTCTGGCAGTGACTGGTCTATCAGTCTCTGGCAGTGACTGGTCATCAGCCCTCTGGCAGTGACTGGTCAAATCAGTCTCTGGCAGTGACTGGTCTATCAGTCACTGGCAGTGACTGGTCTATCAGTCACGGGCGTGACGGGTCTATCAGTCACTGGCAGTGACTGGTCTATCAGTCTCTGGCAGTGACTGGTCTATCAGTCTCTGGAAAGTTGACTGGTCTATCAGTCTCTGGCAGTGACTGGTCTATCAGTCTCTGGCAGTGACTGGTCTATCAGTCTCTGGCAGTGACTGGTTCTATCAGTCACTGGCAGTGACTGGTCTATCAGTCACTGGCGGGGGACTGGTCTATCAGTCACTGGCAGGGGACTGGTCTATCAGTCTCTGGCAGTGACTGGTCTATCAGTCACTGGCAGTGACTGGTCTATCAGTCACTGGCAGTGACTGTCTATCATTTCTCTGGCAGTGACTGGTCTATCAGTCACTGGCAGTGACTGGTCTATCAGTCACTGGCAGTGACTGGTCTATCAGTCACTGGCAGTGACTGGTCTATCAGTCTCTGGCAGTGACTGGTCTATCAGTCACTGGCAGTGACTGGTCTATCGTCACTGGCAGTGACTGGTCTATCAGTCTCTGGCAGTGACTGGTCATCAGTCACGGGCAGGACTGGTCTATCAGTCTCTGGCAGTGACTGGTCTATCAGTCACTGGCAGTGACTGGTCTATCAGTCTCTGGCAGTGATGGTCTATCAGTCACGGGCAGGGGGACTGGTCTATCAGTCACTGGCAGTGACTGGTCTATCAGTCTCTGGCAGTGATGGTCTATCAGTCTCTGGCAGTGACTCGTCTATCAGTCTCTGGCAGTGACTGGTCTATCAGTACTGGCAGGGGACGGGTCTATCAGTCTCTGGCAGTGACTGGTCTATCAGTCTCTGGCAGTGACGGGTCTATCAGTCACTGGCAGTGACGGGTCTTCAGTCATGGCAGTTGACTGGTCTATCAGTCTCTGGCAGTGACTGGTCTATCAGTCACTGGCATTGACTGGTCTATCAGTCTCTGGCAGTGACTGGTCTATCATTCATGGCAGTGACTGGTCTATCAGTCTCTGCAGTGACTGGTCTATCAGTCACTGGCAGTGACTGGTCTATCAGTCACTGGCAGTGACTGGTCTATCAGTCTCTGGCAGTGACGGGTCTATCATTTCTCTGGCAGTGACTGGTCTATCAGTCTCTGGCAGTGATTTGGTCTATCAGTCACTGGCAGTGCCCTGGTCTATCAGTCTCTGGCAGTGACTGGTCTATCAGTCACTGGCAGTGACTGGTCTATCAGTCACTGGCAGTGACTGGTCTATCAGTCTCTGGCAGTGACTGGTCTATCAGTCTCTGGCAGTGACTGGTCTATCAGTCACTGGCAGTGACTGGTCTATCAGTCACTTTCATATAGTAAATATTAATTTCTTAAGAGATATTTTGATTACTGAACTAGAACATAAAGTGTGTGTGTGTGTGTGTGTGTGTGTGTGTGTGTATGTGTGTGTGTGTACTCACCTAGTTGTACTCACCTAGTTGAGGTTGCGGGGGTCGAGTCCGAGCTCCTGGCCCCGCCTCTTCACTGATCGCTACTAGGTCACTCTCCCTGAGCCGTGAGCTTTATCGTACCTCTGCTTAAAGCTATGTATGGATCCTGCCTCCACTTAAAATCGCTTCCCAAACTATTCCACTTACTGACACTCTGTGGCTGAAGAAATACTTCCTAACATCCCCGTGATTCATCTGTTCTTTAGCTTCCAACTGTGTCCCCTTGTTACTGTGTCCAATCTCTGGAACATCCTGTTTTTTGTCCACCTTGTCAATTCCTCTCAGTATTTTGTATGTCGTTATCATGTCCCCCCT